AGCATGGGGCTGAAAGGGTGTTCCACAAGGTAGAAGTGCGAGAGAAGGAACTAACAGTACAGAAGTTACAGCTGCATCTAGCTAGCCCAACTGTAAATTCATGAGATCTCGCCGCCAGTCGAATATTGCATTTAAATTCATAGAGTCTAGGTATCATAGTGAAAATCTAGTCCGAACAATTACTACGAAAATATTTATAAGAAAAGCACAGAGAGGCAACCTTACGGCGGAGAGTAAGTTACTGAAGCCGTGCCACCAAATCAGGACCAATAATATTGTTGATTCTTCTTATGGATCTTAAGGAGTTGTACAAAAATAGCAGGGGCACCTAACCATATATGGCAGCAACCATCTAAGCATGGATTTATAGTCATGCAAATCGTCTCTCCCGAAAATTTCTTAGCAGGTAATCTATCGATGGAATTTTTAAAGATATATATTTATATATATATATATATATATATATATATATATAATATATGTATGTAAATATATATATATATATATATATATATATATATATATATATATATATATATATATATATATAAAATTTATATATTATATATGCGCGTTACTTATTGGAAATAGTTCATTATCAGTGACAGAGCTAACATATTTAGTTGATTGATGTGAGTTTGTGATCCTGGTTTCGCGCTATTTGGGATCGTCAGCGTGAAACCTAGGGTCACAAAGCCACATCAATCCAAGTGTATATATATATATATATATATATATATATATATATATATATATATATATAGGAATGGGTTCTTTATTTATTAATCCGACATATTTTGAATTTATTTGTTTAAACCTTATTTTATGAATACCTATATTTGAGCAAATGCACACACACACACACACACACACACAAACACACACACACACACACATTTATATATATATATATATATATATATATATATATACACATTGTGCATCATTGTGACTACTTCAGAAGTAGTTTAGATTCACCCGATGAAATCAAAGTACAAATGTAGATACATATTTACAAAAAAAAAAAAATAGAAAAGCAAATCAAAGAAAAGAAAAGAAAAGAAAAAGCAAAGAAAAAGGAAAACGAGAAAAATGGAAAGAAAGGCTGAGTGCCTGAGATTGGGAGAAGGTGCAAAAAGAAACAAGAAAGAAATGGTAGAGGAAAAAATCGGGGAAACAAAGGAAGAGGAAGTTCGACAAAAAGGACGAAAGATAAATACAGAGAGAGAACAGGAAAGAAAGAAAAAAAATAAGAGAGGAAGGAGGGCGGAATCGATCGATCAAGAAAGAAAGAAAAAGTAAAAGAAAGAAATAGATGTCTGAAGACTGTAAGAAAAAATGGATGCAGAAAGAAAGAAATTTCTTTTTAATCTCTTCACGCCACACAAGGCGGGAAAGCCACTAGTTCGCAAGAGGTTACATAGATTGGGTGCAAGAATAAAGAGAGTGATAGAGGAAAGGATGAAGAGAAGGACCGAAAACCCTTGGCTGATTCGGATGGGAATCTGTTTAGATTAGATATCAGTTTTGTCGTTCCCAGCTCGCCTCCAACGTCTGGTTACCGAAGTAAGTGCTTTGATTTCTAGTCTAACCTAGCCACGTTGTGATTTGATCTTAGGTAGACGAAATCAGTCAGTCACCAGGCCATAATGCAAGCCGAATTCGAGCAAAGGTGACATCGCACAAGTATATGTAAAAGAAAATAAACTAACAACTCGAAAAGTTCAAATGTGTTAAAAAAGAATAACAAATATTTTTATATCTGGTTGCTGAAATACAGGACTGCTTCTTTCTCCCAACCCGCGTCTATGGATACGTGACATTTTGCGTTTGTTAGGCGAGTCTTAATATCTTAAGTTGTTTTTCGATAACTGTTTTTTTTTTTTTGTATCTACAGGCGATATTCGTAAAACTTGTTTTGGTGATGTGAGTCTAAGTCGTTCTTCAAAAATAAATTGTTTTTGGTTAAAAGTCGAAGTTGGAATGCTAGAATCTTCAGTCAGCTTCCTGCGAAGCTGGTCTCAGAGCTCACAGCTCAACTCTGTCTGCGTCTCTTCGGAACTCTTCCGAACTCTTTAACCGCCGTCTACTCACTGCGACTCTGTTTATATGGACGCCGACCAAAACCGGATGTGGGTTTGTCGTGGTTTGGGTTTCTCGATAATTCTAAATCCACAATAAGGATTTTCTTTGTTTTCGAACAGGAAAATTTATCACTTTCCATTTTTGGAAGTCCATTACTTTCTGCTTCAGAGGCGTTCTTAAGAGAATCGTCCTCCCAAATTCTTCCTTTCTCATATTGGTATCTCACACCAATCCCCTCAGAGGGCGTCAACAGTTTTCCTTTCTTTCTCATAGTGGTATCTCACACCAATCTCCTCAGAAGCGTCAAAAGGCCTCCCCTCCTTCTCATATGTTTATCTTCGCCCACCGCTCAGGCCACCACTCAGCCAATGACGCTCGGCAGCGCGAGTGTTTACAATTATCGCTCAAAAGAAAAAAAAAATCTTCTTTTTTCTTTTCTTTCTTTTCCTACACCAGACCCCTACGACTCGTAGTGTGGTCCTTAATCTTTATCTTAACCGTATGTCATCTGGAATTTATCAACGAGATTTTCACCAGCGTTAAATGGGTGGTCAACTGGACGTTTTCGCACCATGTCGCCAATTATATGTCCCGGTAACAACTTTTATCATGCCCAGGTCTGGGCAATAAAACAGGCGGTCTCTTTCCAAAAACAAATAATATCTCCGAAAGATAGTTAATGGTTTATACTTTCCCTTTCTCTCTGGGGTGGCTTCAGCTGATGCCTTTCTCGATCAGTGCGTGACCTGATTACGATTATCTTCCAGCTTCTGTTTCGTAGGCCACTTGACCAATTACAAATTTTCATTATTGCCATGGGCAGATTGCTATCTTTTATTCTCCGCGTCGTAGCATAAATTAATTCCGACAGATCCGAGATCTTACGAATTTCCTATCTTCTGCGAAAAAAGAATACTTTTCTTCGCAAATGAAAATAAAATCTTTCACACTTTTCTTTGTTAAAAAAAAATAACATTGCTCAGTATGTCTTCTCGCTTAATTATTTCTCGCTTTTAATTTTCACGCAACCGCTAAATAGTGTCACACTCCCAACTAAGTTCTTCGATCTTTTGTGACGTGATTCTTGCTGTGTGGGGTCGCGCATTGTCCTGATGAAACATCACCTCTTTTCGATTCACCAGAGCAGGTCTTTTTCCTCAAAGCTTGATTCAAACGCTCTAATTGCTGACAGTATATTTGAGCATTAATTGTTGCATTAGATGGTAAGAATTCAAACTGGATTATTCCTTGGCGATCCCACCAGATTGAAAGAAGAACATTTTGCCCATGAAGTTCCCTTCTCGGCTGTGGCTGGGGTCCATCCCATTTACCAAGCCACTGTCTACGACGCTTAACATTTCGATAAAAGATCCATTTTTCGTTGCCAGTCACAAGTCTATCCAAAAAGGTGAAACAAGTTGGCGAGAATGGAGAGAAAAGCAGATGTCAACTCGGGATTCGAGGTTGTTTTCAGACAATTCATGAGGCACCCATTTTCCAAGTTTAAGAACTTTTCCAAGATGACGATGAACAGTTGTATGGTTTGAACTGAGAACCACTGCCAATTTCATCAACTGATAAAGCAGGATTTTCTTCAAGGGCTGCTTCAAGAAGCTTTTCATCAAACTCAACTGGACGTCCGGTTCGATCTTCATCTTCAAGGGTGAAATCTCCACCTCTGAATTTTGCAAACCATCTTCTGCAATTTCTTTCATTCACACATTCCTCTCCATAAACTGAGTTAATGTTTCTAGCCGCTTCGGCTGCTGAGTTTCCTTTCTTGAACTCATAAAGCATTATGTGCCTCAAATGATTCTTGGGTACTTCCATGTTAGCAGAGTTTTAATCAAACAAAATTTTATTTTATTTTTCTATGAAATAAAATTTGATCAGTTTAAATGCATCTAAACATAAAAATAATGTTCAGTTCTATTAGACATTATAAAATACTCTTTAAATTTCGTTCATTTTAACAAAAACTTAAAATTCGGACAGAACTTATGGGATGACCTGATAGATGCACGTTTAAATTGATACAATTTGGGAAGAAGCGAGAATTGCTCGTTAGAGCAGTTACCGTTAAATTATTCGTAGAAAAGAAAGAGGAGAGAGCAACTGTAAACGAAATGGCAGATGAAGATGTAAAGAAATTATTTAAATAAATAGTATAAATATATGGATAGAATAACTGGATGTATAGAAGAAAATCAATAAATGTTAGGCAATCAAATAGAGTGAAAGAAAGAAAGAAATAATGTGAAAAAGAGTGGATATATAGAAGAAAATCTATAAAAGGTGGAATGAAAGAAAAAAGCAGAAGAATGAAATGAAGACTGTGATTACTTAAATAAATAAACGAACAAGTAAAGAAAAAGAAAGAAAGAATTAATGTATGTAATAAAGAAGAAATGACGAAAAAAATATTTAAATAAATGGCCGTAGAAAGAAAGAAAGAAAAAAAGAAAGAAAAAGAAAGAAAGAAAAAAGAAAGGAGGAAATAAAACTGTAAACGAATGAAAGAAAGAACACAAGAGGAAATATTTCATTTAAATAAATGGCCGTAGAAAGAAAGAAAGAAAAAAAAAAGAAAGAAAAAAGAAAGTAAAATAGGAAAATCGTATGAATGACTGAATGAATAAAAGAAAATAACGAAAGAGAAAATATCTTATTCCAATAAATGACCGTAGAAATAAAGAACGAAAGAAAGTAAGAAGAAAGAAAGAAAGAAATAGAAAGAAAAATTGAATGAAATAATTTATGAAAGAACAAAAGAGGGAATATTTTATTTAAATAAATGACCGTAGAAAGAAAGAAAGAAGGAAAGAATGAAAGAAAGAAAAAGAAAGAAAAACAGAAAAATCGAATGAATGAGTTAATGAATGAAAGAAAGAAAAAAGAAGCGGGAAATATTTTATTTAAATAAATGGCCGTAGAAATAAAGAACGAAGGAAAGAAAAAAGAAAGAAAAAAGGAAAAAGAAAAAATAATTGAATAAATGAATTTATGAAAGTACAAAAAGAAAGTATTTTATTCAAATAGATGACCATAGAAAGAAAGAAGGAAAGAAAGAAAGGAAAGAAGAAAGAAATAATGAATGAAAGAAAGAATGAAAGAGAAAATATTTTAATTAATGGCCATAGAAAGAAAGAAAAAAGAATGAATAAAAGCAGAAATTTTATATTTAAATAAGGAAATATCGATAGAAAGAAAGAAAGAATGAAAGCACAAAAGAGGAAATATTTTATTGAAATAAATGAACTTAGAAAGAAAGAAAGAATGAATGAATCACTGAAAGAAAGAATAAAAGAGAAAATATTTTAATAAGTGACCGTAGAAAGAAAGAAAGAAAGAATGAAAGAAAGAAAGAAAAGAAAAAAAGAAAGATAGAAAAATGATTAAAAGAATGAATAAAAGCAGAAATTTTATATTTAAATAAAGAAATGTAGAAAGAAAGAAAGAAAAATGAATGAGCAAAAAAGAAAATATTTTAATTAATTAAATGACCGAAGACAGAATTAAAAAAAGTATAAAGAAAAAAAAAAAGAAAAGAAAAAGTCTATGTAAACAAATGTATGATGATAGACAAAAAAGAACGGCGATCATTTCTTAAAATATCATTGAAGAAAGAAACAACGAAAGAGGCCAGAGGTCATTTAAATAAACAGACGAAAAGAAGGAAGAAAGAAAAATCAGGCGAAATAAAGAAATCGAAAAAGAAAAGAGAAAAGAAATTTAAAAATAGTCAAGTGACAACCAAAAAAATTCTTACAATTGTAAATGGAACCAAAAGGTATCCTCCCACGCTTCAAAAAAAAAAAAAATCTCACCTGTGTCACTTGTCGATTTGTTTCAATGTGAAGAGGTGCAGAAAACCAGTCAGTTCGAAACATAAGAGGGAAGTACTTATCCCAACTGTCACGGGATGTCAAAGAAAGTCTAATATAAACTAGCGCACTTTCTAACTCTGATTGGGCCAGAAGGACTCAAGATTGCCTTTAACTCATATAATTTCTGATTTCACTTGGTATGTTTTACGGCATACACACAAAGATAAATGATGCTAGCAGCTGCGACCCATATATATATATATATATATATATATATACGTATGTATGTGTGTGTGTGTGTGTGTTGAGACATGTTTCGTTGAATGATTTAACATGTTCTGTCTACTTATTTTCAATAGGATCCTTTCATATTCGCGGATATGCTTTTTGGTGTTATTACTGAAGGCCGAAATATACGCATATACAATAATATATATATATATATATATATATATATATATATATATACACACACACACACACACACACACACACACACACACACACACATATATATATATATATATATATATATATATATATATATATATAATATAATTGAAGTCAACACTCAGAGGCGACAGGCTGTTTGTGCGTCCAGCATGAAACAGCCTGTACCTCTGAGTGTTGACGTCAATGTTCACATTTGTATTTATATTTACATACGCTCAATCTCTGATATTGAGCACTTTATCCTATAAATATAGCTTACCTTAAAAATATTTTCGACATATATATATATATATATATATATATATATATATATATATATATTATAAATTAATTGATTTAAAATATGTTTTTTACTACACAATTCTAACCTTGTTTCAAAAATGGAACTTAAAAGCTACGAATTTAATTTAGTAATTAAATTAAAGACGTTAGTTCCATTTCATCCTCAAGCGAATTTTGGAGTAACTTTTAAAATTACTGGGTTTTAAAGACACAGCTAAAATCATAATTAACGTTTCCAAGGTTACAGGTAAATCCACTTCCAACAGACAAGGGGCGTCTGCGTCTTCATTATGTCTGTATTTTGATGAGTCAATTTGGGATTTGAGGTTGTTTTCAGACAATTCATGAGGCACCTATTTTCCAAGTTTAGGAACTTTTCCAAGATGACGATGATCAGTTGTATGGTTTGAACTGAGAACCACTGCCAATTTCATCAACTGATAAAGCAGGATTTTCTTCAAGGGCTGCTTCAAGAAGCTTTTCATCAAACTCAACTGGGCGTCCTGTTCGATCTTCAACTTCAAGGGTGAAATCTCCACCTCTGAATTTTGAAAACCATCTTCTGCCATTTCTTTCATTCACACATTCCTCTCCATAAACTGAGTGAATGTTTCTAGCCGCTTCGGCTGTGCCTCAAATGAGTTTCCTTGTTAGCAGAGTTTTTATTTGAACTCATAAAGCATTATGTGCCTAAAAAATGATTCTTGGGTACTTCCATGTTAGCAGGGTTTTAATCAAACAAAATTTTATTTTATTTTTCTATGAAATAAAATTTGATCAGTTTAAATGCATCTAAACATAAAAATGATGTTCAGTTCTATTAGACATTATAAATACTCTTTAAATTTCGTTCATTTTAACAAAAAACTTAAAATTCAGAAGGACAGAACTTATGGGATGACCTGATAGTTGCACGTTTAAATTGATACAATTTAATTGAATAAAAAGAAAGTACAAAAGAAAAAAAAGAAAGAAAGAAAGAAAGAAAAAAAAGAAAGGGGAAATGAATGAACGAAAAATGAAAGAAAATTTTTAACATGGCCAAGAGAATTGCTCGTTAGAGCAGTTACCATTAAAGTATTCGTAGAAAAGAAAGAGGAGAGAGCAACTGTAAACGAAATGGCAGATGAAGGTGTAAAGAAATTATTTAAATAAATAGTATAAATATATGGATAGAATAACTGGATGTATAGAAGAAAATCAATAAATGTTACGTTTTGGTGAAAAGGGGGCATGGATGTATTTTTCAATGAAATCTAACATCCGTTAAATGCAGGTCGTCTGGATTTTTTAAAATTTTATTGTTAACAGCAAAAATTCTTACGGCATTTTCCCCCTTTGTATATTTAAAGATTTTTTTAAGAGGGAAGTACTTTATCCCAAACGGGATGTAGGGTTAGAATACGTTTTATTTAACTACAATTTGAAATATTTTCACTTTTAATTTTAATATACTATATTTTTTTAAGAACAATTAAATGTATTAGAATCCTTACAGTATGTAGAATTATTTCACATCAAGTATAAGTATGTATATTATTAGGTTACAAATTCTTTTTATATATATATATATATATATATATATATATATATATATATATATATATATATATATATATATATATATATATATATATATATATATATATATATATATATATATATATATATATATATATATTAAAAAATTTGGAAAAAAACAAACAAAATCCTTCCAACAAATGTCGTCTTCATTACGTTGATCAATTTGGGATTTGAGTTTTCAGTTTAATAAACCTTTTCAAGAAAATATTCATTTGCCAATTTCAAATACAAAGCTTCAATTTGACAAAGACGATGGACATAAACAATAAGTCTTATCCAAAACAGATAACTAAATAAGAAAATTTTAAAATGATCAGCTTTCCGTTTAGCATGGTCACGTTGTCTTCAGTAGTACATTGTTTATGTCCATCGTCTTTGTCAAAATTGAACTGAATTGTATTTTAATGAATATTGTCTTAAGAACAAAAAAGGTTTATTAAACCGAAACGTCAGACGTCGACATTTCATTCATTTTAAACAACATTTAAAAGGATTTTTGTTTGTTTTTTTCCAAATTTTTCATTCATTCTGTCGGATCTATATCCATTTACATTTGTTATATATATATATATATATATATATATATATATATATATATATATACTGAAAAATTTCTTTATTTTATATATATATATATATATATATATATATATATATATATATATATATATATATATATACCTGTTTATTGAAAATTTGATAAACTACATCCTGCGGCAATGATCGGGATGTTTTCAAGAAAGTGGAATCATCTCTTAATTGCTCTTGTTCCTTGGTCCACCCTCACCCGACGTGGTAGCACCTGTTAGTGTACGAATTATGCGGCCATAGTTAACACCACTCAAACTGGGGTTAAAACTATATGAAAGTATTTTTAAAAATATAGTAAAAATAACAGCAATATATTTTCATAGTAAACGATATTACCAGGAATACGTTTGTCAAATTATTAATGCTTTCGAGAAAATTAAATTTCAACATTAAATGACCCATAAAGAAATGATATGCCGCTAAACAAAACTATGTACCATATACATTTTTTTTCATCCCATAACTTTAGAATGATATCGATACATGTGAGAAGATAAAAAGACATACATTTCTCAAGGTCATTGAAAGTGAAAGTGAAAGTTAAAGTGAAACTCACAAAGAAGACCAGAATTTTTACACGGTTTAACGAATAACTTTCTCTGCCTATGAGTATTACGTTACCCTTTCTCAATGTTTTCTTCTTCTGCGTCCTTCATGACGTAGGTGATCATTTACCTCCACTACTTCTTAACCCTTGTGACTGTTAAGTACACTGGCATAATTTAATGAATTTTAAAAGCAATACCTTTGAACAGGAAAAAGGGGTCGTTTATCTCGTTAGGCCTTGGTAGGTGTTTCTAATATCTAGTAGAATGACTACACCCCCTCGACAAATGTATAAAGAAAACATACAGATGCAAGCTGGGATTGCTCCAACATTAATGCTATAGCCCACTTCTTGTGTTGTTTATTGTCTGGGAGTTAGACCGCTGCGATCGCTTGTCTGTATTCCCTTTTGTGTGTTAATACTATTCTTAGTTTGTAAACGTTTCGCCTCATTACTGTTGCTTGGCTTACTTTTGTCTTGCATATGTGGGTTCCATAATATTACTGTCAATTTTCTTTGTTGGGCATTTCAGCCAATTACATTTGACCATTGCCAATTATTCTACAGTAGGCTATTTGCTTCCATAATGGTTGCATACTTTCTAAACAGATCTCATAATTTTCTCATCGGGAAGATTTCCAAAATCATTTTCTTGACGCAAAATCAATCTGTACAAGGCCAATGAACATTTCAGAAACGGAACAAAGATTATAATACACGTGGGAATCGTTTATTGAATAACATTAATCTTAATCGCTAGCCTATGGCGAACACCTCCGAGAGTGATTTAAGCAAGTTTCTGTGCAGTGATTGTGGGGATATTTCTGGTGTTCTTTAAATTAAATATCTCTTATTAATTGAACATTCTGAGTATAAATTTCAACAACGCATCTTTCTCACATTTCCTATATAGATATGTGTGTTTGGGTATCTGTGTTCTGTGTATATTTATACACGAGCGTGGATAGGCCGCGCCGTGTATATATATATATATATATATATAT